CTGCCTGTCCTACAGCTGTTCAGACAAGTCCCTTCTAAGCAATGCCAACCTTTACATCCAATGGAGCTGTGCTTTGCACAATGATTACCAAGGGGAGGCAAACATAGGAGTTCATACATCTTTGCACTCTCTGCACCTGTGAGGATGTTTGGACCTAGTATGGTCTGCTTTAATTGATGGGTACTTTCACTTACCCTTGAAGCACTACTGTGCTCTGACCACACTGTTCCACCCATTCCGGTGCATCCCCCAGGCACAGAGTCAGCTATCTGCAGCTGTAGATGCCTCCACAGCAAGCCTCAAGAAGAAAGAGAAAAATTCTGCTTCCCTTAAGAAGTCTGGCTCTCATGCTTTCTGGTTCCAAGGCTCTCACTTCTGTTCACCTGAATGAGTGTCCCAAACAAGCCAGACCTGTGAGAAGAGAACTAACCAGTTGTCAAAGTCCAGCAGGACTGCAAAAGCAGTGTTATCACGTGGGTTCATGCATTTTCTACTAAGAAAGCCAGCAAACACTTGGATTAGAAAAGGGAAGGGACAGCTGAGAGGTGGATCAGCCCACTTGTGAGATATATCATGTTTGGCACTAAAAGGCTGAAGTCCCTTCAAGAGCTTGGGACATAAGGACATAAGAAGCAAAGCAGATGCCTCTTTTGGCCTCTGCTCCATCTCCTCAAATATCCAGTATTTTCCTTTTTTTCAGAGATGGGGGCTCCTGCTGTTTTGTCTGAGGCTATTCAGACTAATGTTGTTGGGGTAAAGGGGAAACAGGGCCACAAAGAACAGAGTTCTTTCTTGCTGTGCATGCAAGAGCAGTTCCGTTTGTTTGATATATCTCAAAAATTGCTTTAGAGATTACACATAAAATACTTTTAAAAATTTATTAAACACACAAAACACGCCTCTTGTCCAAGATCAAAAGAAATTTGTTTTCTCAGTCATAAACAATGAAGCAAAGAGGAATGCAGAAGTTGTATTTCAGTCATCACTATTATATATACTTGTCAGCAGGGGACCAGAAAACTGGATCCCATACAATCCAGGTGACAGACCTGGGGAGGTAATCTTAGAGCAGCTGCAGCTCTGCTAGAAACAGGTTAATCTACCAGCAGGATGATGTGTCACTGCAGAATAAGGTCCTGCCACTTTTTCTTTTAAGGGAATAGCGAGCAGTGTGTGCCATCCTCTGGCTTTTCAGATTCACACAGAAATGTTAGATGAAAATGAAGACCAATTCTAAGCATACGGCTCACCTCCACATTCTTATTTGCACTGCACAGCAGCTGTGCTAAGTAATAGTCATCCCTCTGTGAAGGATGACATATGTATTTCCAAACCTGGTCCTGCCAGGGGCCAAGAAACTGATGCTCAGTTTGGAAACCTCAGTTTGAGGTCACTCTGGGGAGAAAGAAAGAAAGAAAAAAAGATGGGATAATAAAGAACACTAAGGTGAAAAAATTTATTTCAGAGACATCATTCATCCATTTGTCTATCTTAGGTATTTCTAAAGTGCTTTAGTCTCACTGTAGTATCTAAGCACCATTAGCACAACAGGAATTTACAATATTCTACAGAGCTCCCTCAGCTGGCAGGAGGATCTGGGAACCAGCTGGTGCCCACAGGTCTGAGACAGAGTGTGCCAGGGATGGTCTGCTCAAATGATAGTCGCTAATTACCTTTTGCTTTTTCTGGTAGTCTCCCACTATGATCCTGAGGGAGTAGACAGCTGGTAGAGAAGCCAGGGACCTAGCTGCTGTGAAAATAAGCCTTCTGGTTTACTTTCTCGTTAAGCTTCTCGACTTTTTGCACATGCCCATAGCTCCTGAGTTTGTGCTGCCCACAAAGTGATTAAATCCCTGGAAGAAGAGGAATATACCCTGTAACTTCGGCAACAGCAAAGGAAGGGTGGTGCTCAGATTCTCCTCTCCAGCTAGACGATCACAAACAGCAAAGAGCAGGCAGGCTAGGGGAAGGGAATTATTTCAGCCAAGTGACACTGAACAGGGAAAACTAACAGTGGCTGTGGAAAGGAACTCCAGAAATGTGTTTACACTGGTGAGCAATCCAATCCTAGCTGCTAAGACTACTGCACTGGCAATGTGCCGTGAACTCTAAGGCCACTTTGATTTGGCCTTTAAATAAGTTGAATTTGAACTTTAAATAAGTTCATAGAGATCTTAGAAATAAATGCACATCAATCCTATTGAGCACTGCTGAGTACACACATCACTTCACAAAGCATGTAAAAGGGAAAAGAAATGCTCTGAGGACTGCTGCAAAGGCATATTCAGGGGCAGCTGGCTTCTCAAACCAGAATCTTGATGTGAGGGTTTCCCTTTGAGTTAAGCTGAGCTACGTGCAGACCTGGGTTTGATTTCAGTGATCTGCTACAGCGACTCTGTTCAGATTGCCAAATGAAAAGTTGCATTCACAAGATGCCTTTCCCTAGCAACCAGGGCTTCTCAGCCAAACAGTTTTAGCGCTGTAGGTTTCCTTTAGGAAACTTCACTAGAATGGGTCAGACCCACAGAAATCAATCAGTTCTACAGCTGAACCACAGTATAACCTTTGAATTCAGTTGAAAATGAGCCTACCAACCGAGAGCTGTAGTAACCCTTCTGAAAGTCTGCTAGCAAATCACAATCTTGACGCTTGTGGAAGCACCTAGATGACCATTAGTCACATTTCCAAACCACTTTCCAGAAGTGGAATAGAAATCAAGAAGTTCTTGGTTTGAAGCTATTCATAAACAAAAACAAACACAAAGCTAAAAGCAAAAATATGCATTTGCAAATGAAGGGCTTTGGTTCCTGTGTAAACAAAGCCCACCCCGTCTCTGAAAGCTCCTTCTACTTCCCTGAGCAGCTGCACATAAATGTGCCTTGTTCCTCTAGGAGCTGCAAACAGTTTCATGCTCCCGTTACAGCTCCTTTTTATTCAACTATATAAACATAACATTTTATCAGCAGTTGAACGTCAAGAAGTGTCTTGGGGCTTGCAGAAAGGATCCCTGCAATGCCTTGGAAAACAGCAAATTCTGCAGAGCAAGCCATTCACAAGCATCCCTGGCCAGCAGCTGCTCAAATCCATGGATCTTCTTAGCATCTTTCTTTATTTCCTTCATCTCTTCTCCACCACAGCTCCAGTCATTCACTGGCTTCAGCATGCATTCCTTTTTCCAGAGACCTACTGAAGCCATGGAGCCAGCTACAGGATTGTAAGATACACTGCAAAACCACGAATCTTTTCTAAGCTCCAGCAGTGCTGGATAAGCTCACCAGTCAGGTATTGTCACTAAAATGATCAGCAGCAAAGCAGTCAAAAATATAAACAATGTGAAGTGTTGCACTGCAATTCCTTGTAGTTAAAATCATGAGGGGGTACATCCTACAACTGCCACTGATATGTACCTGTGTAAAACGAGGGGGAGAGCACTACACTGAGTGACATTTAGAAGTCATTCCTCGCAACCATAGGGGCCACACATTTTTATATAAATAATCCATCTCAATTCCAGATCTTACAGACACACACAAAGTAATCAGTGTAAAACTGAATGTCCTGATACGAAAATTCAGATGTTTTGGTACAAAACCTATTTCTCCCAGCTTCTTACTGAGAAATGCTAGTATATACAATATGTTTAGCATTTTGAGAAGTACTGATATGGTGTAGTGCTGTACAGTTGGCCATTTTGACCATTGCCACTGTGTGTGCACGCATGATCACTCACATGTGAGTGTCAAAATACACTTTGTATAAAACCTAGTTCCTACATATGTGAATACATACTCAGAGATGTTATTTCACACATGCGCACACACACTGGTCAAAACAGGACTTGAGAAATACTGGTATGGAATCAGGTCAGTCCCAGAATGCTGTTGTTCTGTCTCATTTTGCAACACCGCTTACACCAGCCCACTCAAACCATATCTGTGAACCTATATTCTGCAGAATGAGGAGGCTACCGGCACAAACTCACAGGTGACCTGCATACACCTGTCAAGTTGCGTACCACAGTCTTAGCAGCAGCAAGTATAATTCTGATTTTTTTTTTTAAGCTTCTAGGTATGATAGTTTTCTACATCAGTTACCCACCAGTTCTGAGATTCCAGAACAGGCCATGCCCCTATCCTGCAGCTCCTTTGTTCCTACCATCCAAGCAGCATTTGCAGAAAACCTTTGCAGGCATGCCTTCCTTCTCTGGTTCACGATATGCCTACATAGAATCATAGAATTATTAAGGTTGGAAAAGACCTCAAGGATCATCAAGCCCAACCATCAACCCACCATCACCTAACCCACTAAACCATGTCCCTAATGTTCCTTTTATGAACAAACTCATGTGGTCTTTACCTGTGCTTCAAGTTGCCCTGCACACTATATATGCATAACGCAGCGTTTACAGCTTCTCAGCAAGACTTACTTAGCTTTGACCTCCCTGACTGCTGTATGAGACCCAGAGCTGCCTTAGAGAAGCATGGTGAGCTTGTACAGACCTGTGAAATATTACATAGGTGACAACATTTCAGCTGGGAGAGGAACAAAGCCCCTTAAGGACCCCATCTCCCATCTTATCTCCCTTGACACAAGCGCATGCATATGCTGCGTGACCAAGCAGCTTCTCATCATGTGACCTGATGCTATGCATTCTCTCCTCAAGCTCAGAGGCAGACACCTCTTATGGCGAGATGGGAGAAAATATCTGCACCTCGGCCATGTGGCAGATGGCATCTGATTGTAGTATCAGAGAAAGATGACAGGGACTTGAGATGCAGAACTACCCACTGCACCCACTGCTCACTTTCTGTCCATGCCCAAGGCGCACTGGAAGGAGGAGGCATGGGCCAAAGGCATTGCTCTGGCCAGCTGCCTATAATCCAGGGGCCCTGGTGTAGTCACACCCTTGTCCACCCTCTTGTCCCTTAGACACATTTTAGACAGGCCTGGATCAGGAGTTGCATCCTAGATCATCCCCAGACTCTGCCTGGTGATGCTGCCTACCACACGTGCACCCGCTGGTGTGACACTAAGTAGGAGTTGCGACTGAAGCTCTTCCCACAGTGGGAACACTTGAAAGGTTTCTCCCCAGTGTGGGTACGACAGTGACGGATGAGGGTAGAGTTGTCAGTGAAGCAGGTCCCGCACTCAGCACACTTGTAGGGCTTCTCCCCAGTGTGGGTGCGATGGTGCTGGACAAGGTGCGAGCGCTGGCTGAAACTCTTTCCACAGTCAGGGCACAAGTATGGCCTCTCACCTGTATGGACACGCCGGTGAATGACCAGCTTAGAGCTCTCACTGAAGCACTTGTTGCAGTCAACACACTTGTAGGGCTTCTCAGCCGTGTGGAGCCGCTGGTGGGCAATGAGGTTCGAGCTGTCACTGAAGCGCTTCCCACACTGGGGGCACTTGTAGGGTTTCTCACCCGTGTGAAAGTTGGCGTGGCGGAGCAGGCCTGAGTTCTGGTAGAAGTTCCTCCCACACTTGGCACAGACATAAGGCTTCTCACCAGTGTGGTTGCGCTGGTGCTGCACCAGGTGGGTGCTCTGGCTGAAGCTCTTCCCACAGTCTTTGCATTGGTATGGCCGCTCACCCGTGTGGATGCGCTGGTGCTGGATGAGGTGGGAGCGGCGGCTGAAGCTCTTGCCGCAGTCAGCACACATGTAGGGCTTCTCCCCGGTGTGGATCCTCTGGTGGCGGATCAGGTCGGAGCTGCGGTTGAAGCTCTGCCCACACTCGATGCAGATGTAGGGCTTTTCTCCCATCAATGCTCGCTGGTGCACCACAGTCTCCTTACGCTTCCGGAAGCCGCAGCGAGAAGTCTTCTCTGTCTCTGGGGAGAGAAGGTCTGGCCTCGGACGGGACACTTCCTGCTCACAGCCCGGAGGAGAAACTTCCCTCCTGAAAAAGTCTGAAACGGCCCCACAGGGTTTGACTGCCGCTGGCC